GAAGTCTGTATTTAAAGAATGAAATTACTCTCGATGCCTTTATACAAAGTTTATCGTTCTTTTTTTCAATTTCAAAAGAAAAAAAGAGAAGAGGCAAATGTAGTATTTCATTATTCAATTGTTTTATGTGTATGAGAATTGCGTAAATGTAAACAAACACAATGGTATGTACAGATTGTATAGACATAAACGCGTTAATACGCTAAATGGCATAAGAAACATTCGACTCTCACTGACAAGAAAATTTTTATACTTTCCCATTTGTCATCAAAACTGAGAATATCCTGTTTAACAAATAATAATATTCTCCTTCTTGGAAATAGTATTTTCTCGTTTCTGAATTACTCCGGTTTATATACTTTTAAGGTTTTCAACTTTATTTAAGAACATGAAAGTCATTTCGACAATATTACATTATTTTATGAGTATTTTAGTCACTATTATATGTACACACACAGCAAAGAAACAACAAAAATAGTTCGTTGGAAATGACAAGAAGAAAATAGTACATAAAATATAATTCCGAGTGCACATTGTCAAAAAATTTATTTTTTTCAAGACAAAAATTATTCTATTTTTATTAATTATTATTAATGATAATTATTTACTGTTAATACAATAATTGTTTTATTAAGAACAATATAAATATTTATCAGAACAAATATTCCATAAAATATACTCTCTACATTTGAATCAGTTAAATATCATCTGATAATCAGTTACTGATTTTTTTCTTAATCAGTTAAAAATATCTGATTTTCAGAAAAAAAATTTCATCTTTTTTAACTTAATTTCCACTTAATAGAATTTTTATATTTATTTCATTTTTCTTATTTCACAGAATTAAAAATTATTTTATTTATAAAATTCTTATTTATTTATTGAATTATTATTTTAATTCATTTCTTTCAGCAAATAGGAATTAATGCTAATGAACTTTTATAGTTAATAAAGAAAATTTGTATTGCTTTAAATGCAAACGCTCTTATTTTAAAATCAAATTGAATTAGAGTGAGCTTGAATTGAATTAAAACGAGAGTTGCATCTTATTTTAATGTAACACAATTTTTTCTAATAATTTAATCAAGTTACATAACAATTTAAATAACTTATTTCAAAGTGTAGCATTTTCAAATTTTCCATAAAATTTTTCAAGATTTAAAATGCAAAATAAATAATAAAGAAATAATTGATAAACATTAACAATCAACAACGAATTGCGAATACAATAAATTATCAACTAAGCAATAATTAAATATTGTATAATTATTATTAATTAAATTTTAAATAATAATGATTTTTAATTAAATGTGATGCGCTCTGAAGAAAGGTACATAAGAAGCAAACAATATTTTAGATTATGTTTACAATTTTTGGAATAAAAGTACACAAAAGGGGATCAATTATATTAATATAAGATACTAAAGTTTTAAGTCTTTATTTCAACTAAAATGATTAATAAAATTTTTAGCTTTAAAATTAATTACGGATACTGTTAATTTAGTTAAAAATAACACAACAAAATAACCTTAAAATAATTGTCTTCGTAGGACTTTTTCTTCACAGCGCGTCTCAAAAATATTAATAAAAAAAAGAACTAAATATTGAATAAATAATTCATTACTAATGAGTAATTTATAAATAAATATTAGTAAAATAATTAATAATAATAAAGAATATCGGTAATCTGTTCGAAGTTTGAAGTTAGTTGCTGTTTGCTTTTTTGTTTCTTAACTTTTTTATAATTTTTCTTTTCAAATATTTTCAATTTTAAAATTAATGTATTGAAAATCATCGAATTGCTGCAAAGAATTTTATCAAAAAATTTGATAATAATAGAATTCCTTCAAATAATTTTATTCTTTAGGAAAATAACTGAATTCTCTCAAAGAATTTTATTAAAATTTTTAAAAGTCCTAATTAAATTCTTTTGAAGAATTTCTTTGAATTTATTTTAAACTAATGGAGTTTCTTTAATAATTTTAATTAAAAATTTTAAAAACAATTGAATTTTATGAAGAAGAATTTAATTAAAATTGTATTGAAAATAATTGAATTTTTGCGAAAAATTTTACTATTTATAAAAATAATTGAATTATTCCGAAGAATTTATTAAAATGTTAGACAATAAATGAATTTTATGTTAATATTCAAAAATTTAAATTCTTTCGAGGAATTCTATTAAAATTGCTTTGAAAAGAATTGAACTTCTGCAAAGGATTTTATTATTTATAAAAATAATTGAATTATTGCGAAAAATTTGACTATTTATAAAAATAATTGAAACGTTTCCAAGAATTTATTAAAAATTTAAGAAATAATTAAATTATTATGAAGAATTTTATAGAGATATTTGAAAATAATGAAATTTTTTTGAGAAATTCAATTAAAGTTGTTTCGAAAATAATAGAATTTTTTTTAAATATTTTGAAAATAATTGAATTATTTTTAGAGAATTTTAAATTCTTGTTGAAATTGAATTTTATTTAAATTTTTGAAAATATTTCAATTCTTTAGTGTAATCTTATTTAAATTGGATTAAAAATAATTTAATTCCTGCAAAGAATTTTAGTATTTATAAAAATAATTTGATTTTTTCCAAGGATTTATTAAAATTTTAGAAAAAAATTGAATTTTTTCGAAATGTGTTAAAATTTTTTTTAAAAATTGCATTCTTTCAAGGAATTTAATTCAAATTGTTTTGAAAATAATTGAATTTTTGTAAAGATTTTACTATTTGAAAAAATAATTGAATTGTTTAGAAGGATTTATTAAAACTTTAGAAAATAATTAAATTTTTAGTGAAATTTTATTAACATTTTGTACTTTATAAGTGAATTTTTTAAATTTTCATTGTGAAATTATTTAAAAAATTTATATTTGAAAATAAAAAATTTTGTAATTTGCATAACAATAATAAATTGAATATCACGTTTCGCGCGCTAGCACGCGTAACATTTGCTAGTAAATTTATGAACCAAATAATAAATAAATATTAAATAATTATTAGAATATTCAATAAACATTGGTAATTTTATTAGTTAAAATTAAAAATAATAATAATAATAATTATAACAATTTTGTTAATTGAATAATGAATAACTGCAAGTAGTACAAAAATGCACAGAGTATAAGGCAATAGAAAAATTAAATTCTCGTTTGAATTCTGCAAGCTTAGAGAATCTATTATGCACCTATTCTTAAGAACTGTCTGAAACATTAATCAAAAGTAAAATAAGGATATATGAAATATAAATCACATTTTAATGATGGACTCATTCCGTAATGTAATTTATTCAGCTGCGCTCTATGCTTAGAAATCCTGTTATTTTGCAAAGTTTCGTGTAAAAATTTTGAAAAACAAAACAAAAAATATATAAAATAAAAAATACCGGAACTAGACATATACAAATATTACGACCGATCATAAAAGTCTTTCGACCTGCCAATGCAATATACGTCTGCGTACAGATCATAACAGTCTTCGCAAAGAAAGAGTCAAATGAAACGACCGTCTAGGCTGAACGGTTAATAATGCAACCTTTCAAAGTAACCGAGGTATCTACAACTTTCTAATCTCCATTATAAATAAAAAAAAAAATTCCTCAGCACGGGACACTTAACCTTTTACTTGGCACTCCAATGCACAAAATGCACTCTTAATCGTTTTTCCATTATTACTACTATTTCTTAATCAAAATATTTTTCACGCCTTATGACATACGTTATTAAATATTAATAACTACCTATAAATATTTCCAATAAAATTAATTTCTTAAAAATTTTTCTTAATTTTTTGATTCTTAGTTAATTTTCAGTTATTTTAATTTTACTACTTGTAATCGAAATCTAGTCACTAAAATAATAATTATTCAAAGTAAATCTCTATTGTTTATATTACTGAATTTTTTATATTATCTCTCTAAATTTAAATTATTTAAAATCAAAATCTTTATTAATTTAAATTAGTGACTGACTTTTTGTTTTTAAATTAGTAAATTTCACTAGTAAATTAGTAAAACTTACTATTTATTAGTAAAATTTATTAATTTAAATTAAGAGAGATTATTATTAGGTGTTATAATTATTATATATTATATTAATAATAATAATAATAATAATTATTATTATTATTATTATTATTATTAAGTAGTAGTATATTTATAATTTTGTCTATTTATGTTTTAAACAAATTTCATGAATGAATCATAGAAAGTTTAATTAAGTTTTAAGATTTTTTTGATAAATAAATGTTAATTTTATTAATAATAATTATCAAAAATTAAAAATTATTAAAACTTTCTTCTCTGATTTAACTTTCAAATTAATTTTTTTCTAGGGTTAAAAGTTAACTAGATAAATGAATATTAAATAATTTCTTAAAAGTAAAAATAATTATATTTTGTTTTAAAAAATAAAAAAATTAGTATTAAGAACTGTAATTAAAAAAATGTGTCTTAGAAAAGAATGTTGCTATATTGGAATTGACTCGGCGAAATTTAATGCCTGACGTGCGTAAACATATACAATCTCAGTATTCTCAGAAGTATAGATTAAACTTAAATAAATCGATAATAATTAGTAATGTGTTTTATAAATTAATTTAATAAATTAACATTAAAAAATAAATGAGTTAATTTAAAAAATTAATTAAAAAAAAAATTTATTACAAACAATATTAACTTTAATATCGAAAATAATTGAAAATATTAATTGAATTTTTAAACAAATTTCTTAAACTTTAACCATAATATTCAAATTTTAAGACTAAGAATTTAATGATTGAATTCTAATTAATCCTTAATTGGTAATTACATAATTCTAGTAGTAAAACTATCAAGAGATTAAAAAAGAATTTGATTTTTGAAATATTGAAAAATAATTTAATAACAAATTTCCAATTAAAATTGAAATGGTGAATTAATATTTAATGTTTGATCATCAACTTAATTAAAAAGCGGTAAAAATAATTCTTCAAATATTTAATTAATTTCTCTCACCTTAGCAAATAGTGTATAAACTCCCTGTTTAATTAATAATACAGTTCAATCACACACAGATTCAAATGTTCACAGAATTTTTTTTTTCAAAATATTCCTTTCGGTTGAAATTTTTTTTTTTTTTTTGAAAAATTAAAAAAATCACTGATTGAAAATAAATTTTTCCAAAAATCTACAATTATTCAATAATTGAATTTAATTTGGAAAAATGAGAAACAAGTGGAAATAAAAATTTGAAATTTTCAAATGACACGCGTGCCGGTAAAGGATTCAAATGAGAGAGGAGAAACGGTATCACTGTACCGTCCGTTAGGAAGCGCGCGAAGCAACTGAAGCTTCCGAGTTTCCTACCAGCTGGTAAACGGTCCGACTCACACCGTCCTGCACCACTTCCAGTTTCCCAGATACACGCCAAGTGTTAATAATCAACTTTATGAATGACACAAAACTAATGTCCCCACAAAAAGTCTTTGCCCCTCAGAATTTGTTAACTTTGCAAGCATATAACTCTTTTAAAAAAATTTTTTTAATTTTGGAATAAACAGTTAATAAAGCGTAGTTTATCTGTGCAAATAAATATATGCTATTCATAAATGGAATAAATTTTGTTCCAAATTTGTAATCAAATATGTATAAAAATGTCCCTTAAAAATGATACTTTATAAAATGTATGTACTTTTACTATTCCCTGTGATGTTATTAACAATGGAAAAAATTTACAAAACGTATAGCAGATTTATTAATAATTAACCTTTATATAGAAGTTTAAAAAATCCTAAAATTATGTTAATTATCGTTGTAATGAGCATTTTTATGCTAATGTGCTATCTGGCTTTAGAATGAAGATAAAGCTTTGCGACAAATTGTAAAATATCCAGTACAATATTCAAAAATATTTAAGCTAAAAAGTTGTTAATTAATAATTTTAATTTTTAAGAAAAACGGCATTTATAAAGGTTAATTATTAACAAATCTGCTATACGTTTTGTAAATTTTTTCCATTGTTAATAACATCACAGGGAATAGTAAAAGTACATACATTTTATAAAGTATCATTTTTAAGGGACATTTTTATACATATTTGATTACAAATTTGGAACAAAATTTATTCCATTTATGAATAGCATATATTTATTTGCACAGATAAACTACGCTTTATTAACTGTTTATTCCAAAATTAAAAAAATTTTTTTAAAAGAGTTATAAGCTTGCAAAGCTAACAAATTCTGAGGGGCAAATACTTTCTGTGCGGACATTAGTAAAGTTTCAAGGCAAAAAAAAAATATTTCTTTTTTATTTTCTATACTTTTAATTCATCAGAACTATAACAACAATAAAAAAGTTTTTATGTATTTTGAACCATTTTTCTTCTTAAAGAAAATAATACAGCTTTACTAGGGTAATTTGGGGTAAATGTAAACAAGGAGTAAATGTAAACAGTAGATGTTTCAGCTAAATTTACCAATTTAAAAATAAGTACGACGTCAATATTTTTACCTTAGCTCACCTACAAGATGTTCTGAGTATTGCCAATATTTTATAGTGTAAGTTATCTTTTAATGCAAAAAAGATTGAAAATCAAAGTTTTACTGTTTCAGTATTTTGTCTCGCATTTGCATAAAAATAAATTAAAAAATCAAACTAAAATTTGTAATTCTTCCTTATTAATGCCCTAACAAAAATTGACTTTGATTTTTGATTTTCGTAAATTTACCTAATAAATAATTAAGTGTTTACATTTACCCCGAGAATTCGAAAACTCGGGGTAAATGTAAACAGAACTTGAAGTACATTTTAAAAGAAAATAATTGAATAAATTTGCTTTTATTTCACAATTTCATCACTTTGGCAATGTAAAATTACATAGAAAAGGAAATTAGGTCAAATTTTTTTTTTGAAAATTTGATCAATTTTTAAAAATATTTTTAGGTTCATCCGCTATTTTTAAAATTTAAAATTTGACTTCAAATTCGTATTCAGCGACCTCAAAAACCCCCGAGTAGACAGATTCAAGCAAATTTGATCAATTTTTAAAAATATTATTTTTAGGTTCATCCGCCATATTGGATCCACCATTTTGAAATTTAAAAATTCGATTTTAGATTCTTATTCAGCAACCTTAAAAACTTCTTTTTACCAAGTTAAATAAAAATCAATTAAAATTTGTTCAAGTTATTCAAGTTTTTACATTACTAATTTTGTAATGGTTGATTGTTTATTTTATATGATACATTATCAGTCAACTGGTTGATTTACTATACATCTACGAAGAATTTTTTTTCAGTTTTTCCATCCCTTAAAACAGTAGTATACTTGAAATAACTTGTTTCTTAAACCACGCTTAACTACTGTGGTGTTTACATTTACCCCGAATTTTAGGAAAATTTCAAAATCAAATCGTTTACATTTACCCCAAATGACCCTATATTTAATTATATTTTTATATAAATTATTACATAAAAATATAGTTAAATAGTAAAATTGGAAAAGAGTAATATTCTCTTTATTACTTGACAAGCAACAATTCGCGCGCGGCTGACTTCTCACTCCCTTTTTTAAATGAAATTAGCAATTTCCAAAATAATAATAGAAACATAAAAATTTTTAAATCGAATTTTTTTTATAAAAATAAAATATGAATTAAAATATATTTTTAATATTATTATAATTAAGTAAATTAATCATACATTCTGGCATAGGGAACTTAGGGAAAATTCAGGAATTTTTATTAATAAAGTACTGAAAAAAATTAAATTTCTAGAATTCATAAGAAAATTCTGAATTTCTATGTTTTTAAAAGAGTTGCGTTTACAATTTTCATAAATAAATGAACTTCAAACGGTTTCAATTTCAAATTTTATAAAATTTCAATATTGAATGAATTTAATTAAAAATTTTAATGGACTTAGATTTTTGAAAAATTTTAATAATTTAAAATCTTCTAAAATTAGTTGTCAATATATAAATATATATATATGGGTCATTTCATTTAAATTGTCATTTTCAGCCTCAACAAAAGTTGAAGTAGCAAGTTTCGATTCTGTAATTTAAACCAAATTTTTTAAACAGTTATATATATATATATATATATAAATATATATATATTACATTAACGAAATTCAAAGTGGTCGCGCAATTAAAGTAATATATTTCACATAAAAGACGTTTTTTGTCAAAAATAGTACAATTTTTCAAAAAAAAATTTTCTGCAAATTTTCCATTTAATGATGATTAATTTGTTAGGGACAAGTACTGTTTCGTTACTCTTACAATTATGAAACTCAAACGAACCATAAATTTCACTATAAGGTCACGTTTGATAAAGAAAAAAATTTTAAATTAAGCAAAATACAGAGAAAAGTGAGTTAAAATGAAAAATGACATTTTCATTTCGCCAAGAAAATAAGAATTTGCTATTAATATATTATTTCATGACTCTGTTCTATAATAGTTAATGCATTGGTAAAGTTGAGAAACATAGTTTTATGTCTATTTATTTAACATTTTAGAATTGTTCGAAGGTAAAACTTGGGCTAAAGGTTTGGGACACTCATGACAGAATACAACACTCGTTACATTCGTTGGGAAAAAAATATTCAACCCATTTTAATTAAATTGTTACATTGATTCTCCAACAAAGTTTATGTGGTGTAAATTTTTTATACATGTTTGTGTATTTTTATTTTTATGCAAAGCAAGAATCTAAACTTAACTTTAGGGACATTCATACATAAACAAAAAAAATTTTAATTCTAATGCAATTATTGACATAAAACTTGTTACTCTGCTGTTTTTGGGGAACTGCTTGCGAAACTGAAATCGGATTTCAAAAATTCAAAATGGCGAACGAATTTTGTAAAACTCATAGAATTCAGTTGAAACTCGTTACTCGGGGGTTTTCGGGATCGCTGATTACAAATTTGAACTTGAATTTTAAAATGTCGAAATCCGACTAACGAGTTAGTCCTGTTTTTGAAAAAAATTAGTATCAAAAGGCTAGTCTGGCCAAAACACCCCCGTTTCGACTAAAATCGACAAAAATATACTTCTTATTTATGAAAATATACATTTTAATTATTCAAATCAAAATCCTAAATAGCCAAAATATATGCCTTAGGGGACCTCCTCCGTTGTGGGACACTTATGACATGGACACTCATGACATTTTGCTCGTTTTTGCTTATATCTATGAACAGGTTATATTTATATCGACAATTCTAGTCTCATTCGAAAGAGAATTCAAAACTATTATGAATAATTTCATTCTGATATTGAATATTAAATATTAATTTACCAATTTTTAAGACGGGACACTCATGACAGTTTTCTAATTACATTAAAATCTTTTCGTTTCTCCCACAACGTAAAACTTTCACATTTGGAAACACGGCATTCAATTTTTTTGAAGTTGATTCGTCGTTATCTTCTGCTGCGGATTCGTCAGTAAAACAGCTTTTTAGCTCCCTGGATAAATCTTTAAACACGCATAAATACAAAATTTTGCATTCCAAGTAAAATAATGTAAAAGTGAGGGACACGTCATTCTTTTTTTTTAGAAGGGTTAAACAATTAAATAAAGTTATCAGCAGTCAATTTTCCTTACATATGTAAGTTATAGTTCACTGCAAAATTTTTGTTTATTTGTGATAAATTAATATAACAAAAATACGTGCACTTGAAAACTAATAATTCACTCCTGGACATGGGACACTCATGACATTTTGCCTGCATTTCGTTCTGCCATTATTATACATAGCATCTTTACATGCTTGCAAGTTGAAAAAATGTTAAAAGAGATTGCATTTCACGACATTGGAAAATAAATTTTACCAAAAACTATAACAAATAGTTTCTACTGGCAAAGGACACGATTATGACAATTTAAATGAAATGACCCATAATATATTTAATTAATTTTTAAAAATAATGGTTTTATAGAAGAATTTTAGTTAAAAACACTAAAAAAAACGAATTTAGGAGAAGTTACAAATGATTGCAGAAATTCAATTATTTTCAAAAATAATAAAATTCTTATCACAAAATTCAATTATGTTCAAAATTTACAAAAAAAAATCTCGACAAAATCCCAATTATTATTTTTGTAAATAAGAAAATTCTTCTTCAAAATTGAGTTATTTTTAAAAATTTTAATAAAACTCTTGTCAAAATTTCAATTATTTCCAAAAATTTTCCTCATTTCAATGATTTTTAATATCTACTACCTATTTTAATAAAATTACCCAAAAGAATTCAATTATTTAAAAACAGTTTTAATAAAATTGTACGTGAACATTTAATTATTTTCATAAATAATA